AGTTATGGACTGGAAAATGTGACACTGGATATATTAACTAAGCCTTTGGATAGGAGGTCTTATGAAACTTCTGCAGCTACTCAGGTCACCATTTCTCTGCAGTGAATGCCTGTGGGACTTTCTGACATTTTGGTGCACTGGCAAAGAGCTGCTCCCAAAGCAGCACAACATGAGCCAACAGAGGACCTAATCAGATGGGCACTAAGAAGTAACAGACTGTGCAGACAACTAAGAGTTGGCATCACGGTCACCAAGCTAGACCATGGCAACGTGAACATGTTAATGTGTAGGTCCCTTAAAGGGGGTGAGGATGTTGCTGGGCAGAGAGAGGCAGCCTGTCTAATCCAGAGTTTAGACACAGAAGAACTTTCTGCAGATTGCCAATCTGATGGTAAGACAGAGCTCCACAATGTTGCTCTGAGCATCAGATGAAGCTGAGATGAAATGAGATTTAATTTATGCCTGTATTTTGCCATGTTCAACTCTTTAATTCTATTAAAATACAGAAAGTTAAAGACTTAAGCAGAAATTAAAAAAAAATAAAGTTAATACTTTAAAACAAAGCCCAACTAACAGTTTAGGACTCTCATATTCCCAGTGTTCTTCAGTTCATGACAAAATTGACAAAAAAGTGGCTTTCATAATGACAATTATGTTCTGACAACTTTTATAGTTACTGGGCAATTTGAAGAAGATGGCATACAGCACAGAAGTTTAGAAAAAAATACATTAAAAGGTAGCCCAGCTGCATGCTCAAAAGTGAGCTAACTTCAAAGCTGGATCAAATGCAGCTGCAGAACTGCTGTACCATACGTCTATTAAAGTGCCTGGATGAGTCAAGGCCACCTGCTCCTGGACCAGGATGGGATCCTGATTATCTTTTCTCTGGTGTTCAGGAACAACATGGGCTCCTAACAAACAAATTAAATAGCTTCTCAGTTGCTAAAATTAGGTGTCCAACTTGTTTATGCCCACAATTGAAAAACACTGATCTCCAGTTTTTTGTTCTATGTGCTGAGAACCTCTGAGAGACTCTAGGCACCATCAGTAATTATGATTCACAACGTTTTGGCTATGCTGTGAGGCACAGAAGGGCTACAAAGAATCCAGTGCTGAAACCAAAACAGTGTCAGCATCAGGACAGAGTACCTGGGTAGTCCTCCAGGAAGCACTTCACTCTGTCCAGAGCTACCTGGACCTCACAGTGTTTAAACTTTCTTGAGCTTTCAAGTCACTCCTCGTTAGGACATGCCAGCACTGCAAGGTTAACAAAGCCATTGAAAAGTAGTCTTAGGTGTGGTTTTTCCCATTGGACTGGTTGCTGAATCACAGAGTAGAACATTAACTCACTGCTGTGAGCAAGTAAATTATGACTCAGCTGGAAGTGCTAGAAGAAAGGTTTGGAAGTAACATGCTAAGTGCCATGTATAGTGGAGATATGCCGAGGAGAGCTTGGAAATACTTAAGAGTATGGATGCGCTTAGAAGTGATCTAACACAGCACTGTAAGGCATCTCATATGATCCTGGGACTAGTTTATTTTAGCCATATCCTTCGACTCTCCTGCTTATGTTGTGGGAAGATAAAGCTAAAATATTTTTTCCCCACTTCTTATTCTTTTAGGAATACAAATAATAAATCAACTGTTTTACTACCATGATGATGTTTCAATCCTTTATCACAAAGACATTTCATCAAGCAATAGTGATTTTTGTTAATCTGTAACAACATATGTGTTGTTACAAATCCAACAACAACATTATTTAACTTTGCTTGCAGACAAATCTGATCACTGTTAGACAACTATCCTCCAAAAACAATACAGGCATTATTTAACTTCTCTGGAGGAAGAGGTCACAGTAAATTTCTTCTCAAGTTGCTTCTAATCCCTTAGCTATTTACTACATAAATCAAATAAATTTTCAATGTGTACATGAACATATCAAATCTGCTGCACAGTTCTGCCTTATTTATTTTATCTGATTTTACAGAAAATTTAACATTCTGGAAAAACAAACAAACCAACCCCCAAAAACAGGCAGTCATATTTTTTTTTCACTTTACAAACAGCAGGCTTTTAATTAAATTTTAAAATTAGCTTTTATCACTTCAAATTAATGGCATAATGTTTACATAATGATCTGATGAACCACCCAGCAGCTCTAGCAAGTTGCCCAGAAGCAGATGCTAAAACACAATAATTTATTACAGAGAAAAGAGGCTTAAATGTTCCCAGTATCATTCTGTAGAATAATTCTTGTGTAACTCAAACAGGAATTATGAAAATACAGAGCATTAAGACTGAGTAAACTTTACAATCACTGAGCTTATACTAAGCAAAGCTGCCCCAGCCATGTGCCCACCACACCTTTCCCAGGTTATCCCTCTCTGCCCCTGAATTGCTATCACACCACCTACAAGGTAACATTTCCTGCAGAAAGGGTCCTGGGGGTCCTGGATGATGGCACGTTGAATATGAGTCAGCAGTGACCTGGCAGCCAGGAGGGCCAACTGCGTCCTGGAGGGTATCAGGCAAAGCATCACCAGCCAGCTCAGGGGAGGGATTGTCTGGCTCTTCTCTTTATTGGTGCAATCCCACTTAGAGTCCTACATGTAGTCTTCGGTGCTACAGCATAAAAAAGACATTAAGTTTTTGGAGACCGTTCAAAGGAGGGACAAGAAGATGGTAAAGGGCCTTGAGGGGAAGCCATATCAGGAGCAGCTGAGGTCACTTGGAGCCTGGAGAAGAGGAGACTGAGGGGAGACCTTATCCCAGTCTACAACTTCCTTGTGAGGGGGAGAGTAGAGACTTCTCTCAGGTTACTAGTGACA